ATCTAGATACATCTAGAAAGAAGATAAGCCTTAAGAAGGACATATCTACTTTGGACAGAAAATGTAAGCTGGGAACCTGGGAGAAACCAAAACTGATGAGAACACCAGCAAATCCAGATGTCTTAAGAAGGACTTACCTACTTTACAGAGAAAATGTAAGCTGAGAACCTGTGATAAGCAAACAAAGGGCAGGGCGCCAGCAAATCTAAAGAAACAACAGCTAGCAAGAAGATACTCCTTTAAGATCATGTAACCTAAGAACCTGGGATGACTCAAAATTACCAGAAAGCAAACACAGTGGAAAAATGCAGCAGTCTGGACAATGTTTAAGATTCCACAATCCACATGCATAAGAAAACATAACACATCGACAGGCAGAACGAAGCGTCAAGGTTTCCAAGTTACTTTGTGGACCCCCCCCTTCCCACGTATAAAGTTACATTTTCCTGGACCCCCTCCCCCCCCGGGGGGTATTCCCCGAAAAAACGTGAGGGGGGGTCAGCTTACATTTGTTGGAGGGTGGGGGGGGTGCCCAAAAATGTAACTTACATTTTGGGTCCCCCCCACCCTGTTTTCATGGTTAAAGGGGTAGCGATGATATATAAAAGTATCTATTTACGACACAACACATCTGTCAGATGTGTTCGTTGCACTTTCTGAATGGGGTCGTGTCAACAGCACAAAAAGCCATTCCCACCAAATGCATGCAAGTGCACCACTGTACCCACGACCCAATCAGAAGTTTGGGATTTTGGGCATCTTTGTTTGTCGTATATATAAGTCATATTGCAGCATCTCCAAATCCTTACAGCCACCATCCACGGCGTTGAATGCACCCCATCCACGAACACTGTCCCCACCGGTCACCGTGCCACCGTCCCGGTCACCAACGGTCAAACGGGTGTTCACCGCTCAGCCATTCAGCTGCCGAGCTGCAAGAGATCGGGCAATCCTCGAACCTGGGAGGCGGAGTCGCGTCGCATTCGCCTTCGCTCGAAGGGTGGGGCACGACGGAGCGTGGGCCGTGTGTCGCTCTGTTGGCCGGTCGGTCCTTGCAAAGAAAGGTGCCACGTGAAAATGTTACAGAGTCAAGTCAAATGGATTTTTGCAAGCTTCAAGCCATGCGACATAGTCATACAGGGACATACATTGCAATATAACTTAGGTAGGTGCAGTGAGTCAGCCTTCGGAAATACATCACCAAATGTTGCATCCTTCACGTCTGCATTTGAGTCTCCAGAAAGCAACAATAGAATGCTAGCTAGGACATGTTGCTACCCTACTCTACGTCTTGCTTGGGCAACAAAAAGAGCCAAAAGCCGGCACCCATTCAGAACGGCGTCCCGCCCGCGCAGTTCGTATATCTCTGCTCTCTTCGCGCGTCTCAGCTCCAAACCGCTGCTCTCCTCTTGGGTCACGCCAATGAAATACTCGCAGGTTTCAATGCAGTGACCTCCGATCCGACCGAAGGTCCGACCCATCCGGTCCGACCGTTCCGGTGAAGTCTCGGCGCTTGGAGTTCAGATGGAAGCGATGTTTCCGGTGACACGTCCAGAGCTTGGAACAAGTGCGAAGGAAGCTAAGGAAGGTATATTTGAAGCACCTGGCAACAACAGTAACGTCGTTGCACAGAGATCAGGGTGATGTTAGGTGCGGGTCGGGAAAGCCAGGAGAATCTTGGAAACTTGCAACCTGTTCCACTAACATCCATTGACCAGGACCTGCCCCATAATGATTTCGAAAATATACCGGCATGAGGTGAGATCCCTTAGTAACTGAAGATCACTTATTTAGGGGCTTTGCGGAATCCCAGAATAGCTCTTGATAGGAAACTTCCCCATCTGCTCCTAGAAACCGGACAAACCATGGCAAACCTAACGAGTTCAATACTACAGTACCCTCCCCAAAACTGAGCATGGATACTCACTGGACTGGCCCAGTCCAAAGCGCTTGGAAGATAGGTTGGTATTCCTCTACCCGGCGCCATGGGGGCGGACGTCCCCGGGGGAGGACGAACGCACAGCTGAGTGTGGACCCTCCCAGCTCAGGGAACCCTGGCGCGTGGAGCCCACACTTGTGCTCTTGCCGCTCTTTTGGCCGTGAGCCTCGCAAAAAAAAACGGGTGGAAAACGGGTGAACGACAGAAGCAACGTCAAACAGTCGGGACGATGATGTTTCGATTGGGGGTCGACCATTGTCACGAACAATCCGAAGCGCGTATTTGAACAATGGTCATTTGGGTCTACCGTAGAGTCTCCAATGGCCCTTTGAAATTCGACTTTCCAAGAAAAAGAGCTTTCTGAAAGAAGACACTTTCTTTGGCATATGTCACGACATGTTCCTTTTTTTTGTTTGTGCCCTGTCAGATCCTCCTTAGACAGTGTCCTGAGACCTTTTTTCTGCGTCCAAAACGCGTCTTTTTGCGTCCAAAAGGCGTCTTTAAGCGTCCGCACCGGACGCGTCGGGATGAAGATTCACTCTGTACCTTTATTGAGTCCTTATCTCTGAAAACGCGTTTTTTGAGCAAAAACGCAAACATGTTAGACCAAACACAAAAACGTAGACAAAATGGTCTTTGATGTTTCAACAAGAACTTGGGTCTTTCCAGTGCTCCGACACCGCCAGCCCCGTCTGTCATGGGTCAGGTTGCCTCTCGACTGCCATCTTTGAAGCAGAACTCGACCTTGGTGACGAGAATTTCGTCGGTGCATTGGACATGTGGGTTGGCCAAACATTGTGGTGTGATCGAAACACAAATACGCCCCTGCAGATTAACACTAGAACTCCAAAACGACTGGGTTGTACAGGAGGCCATGGTTTTGCAGGTGCATTCCCAGGGTCCATGAGATCGTCTGCAGGGGTGTAGCCCTGTTTCGGGGCTTCAGTTGACCCATCACCAGGTCTCTGGACCGACTATCCAGGTCCTCTAGCGGTCCACCCTGTCGGAGGCTGGTGCGTACGCCACGACTTACCTGCCACTATCATCGCCGCCTGTCGTCGCCGCTATTTTCCACTCAAAGAGCATTTTGTTTGGATCGCTTGCGTCGTTCAGAACGGTCTGCGAAGCCGTCGCTTGCGCTGGGTTTTTGCTGCCTTCTCCAGTATCATACGAATGTGATTCCACCAAATTCAATGTTTGGGATGCCATGCAGGACACTGTTTCATAGCGCATCCGCATCATACGACTCTGACAATGACAACAAAATGACCATGTCTTGTGTCAACAATGTCCAGCTTCAGTAGTTGCCCTTCTTCTTCATCTGAGTCTTCTTCACCTAGACCGGGGACGCGTGCGAACCGGTCTTTTTCGTTTTGGGTTCTCCAACGGACGACCGGCAAGGCTAACATCGATGGCACAGCATGTCCCAAACAGGACCCATGGGACTGCCATATATTTGCCGATCAGTTGAGGGACGGGGTGTCAGTGCAAGAATATACACTCCCGAAAACGAACATGGACCCTGAGAATGGCTGCTTTCGTCTACAAACCAGTTTTTCTTTTTTCAGGGTCCAATTTCAGTTAGCGGCAGGGCATTTGGGACATCAAACAGGACATGTCCCTTTCTTGTCAGCTGGTGCAGACTTTGGGGGGAAAAAGCTCGGCAATCGGGCTCGCCTTAGGCCTGGTCACACACACCAATTTCCAAGAGACAACAAACAGATCATCATCAACAACCAACTATGCGAACTATGACAGTAACATACAATATAGTTCACGCCTCAATGCGTTAGGGCCGTTAGGGTGAGTAAATACGCTCGTCACTCACACAAAAAAGAACAAAAATACAACCAAACGAAGCTGCTCCTGGCCCGAATTTTCTTTGGATGATCGTTTGGACCCCAGTTCCTCTCCCAATCCCATGAGCCAATCCTCGGTGAAAATTCCGCATGTCAGGCGCATGGACAAGCCATGTGGGTTCCACAACCTCTGCGGAATCAAACAGCTCGCCTGAATGGAGCGCCGCTGCTCCTTCCGTCGCTGCTTCTTCGACTTCCTGGATGGATTTTCAGGCGAAGAAAGAGGGGTTGGATCGACTTACTTTGGGAGAAGATGGCGCCATCTGGCAGGAGATCCATATAGTGGTCTCAGAGTAGACGGCACAATCTTCGAGTTTGCTGGTTTGTATGGAACTCCATCTTAAAGACTCTTATAGACATGTGAGGCTAAGGCTTTGTGCCATCGAACCTCTGAAACCGCTCGCACCGTTCTCAGGGGAGTCTCAAACCGGCGTGCTTGATGTGATCGCACCGCTTTGCTCCAGCACCGAGGGATCCGGAGCAGCACCGAGGCGGATCCCTCTCATCCACTGTGACCACGCTGTCGGACGCTGTCGCAGCAGCTGAGGCATGTATTTTGGGGGTGGACCGGTGTGGAGCCATCTTTCTGGTGAGGAACCAGTTGACATGTGTTCACGACACAAGCAAAACAACAACTCCAATAATTGCAATACACATGATTTACATTCCTGGAGTCCTGGACGCTCCTTGATTGTATGGAGGGCACAATTTGGAGCTCCCAATAATCCCCCCGCACTTTCGTTTGTCAAGACTCTCCACATCAATGTCCATCTGCTCCGGTGCCATCTTCGGCGACGGCACAGCGGCTTTCGCCTTCGGCGATGCCGCAGCTCTGCTCTTTGGGGAGGCCTGGATGGAGAGGCGAGTCGGGGATCCTGTCGAATCACCAATAGGTTACCAATACCAAAGCCTTCATCATGTAAGTAAGGAGTGATTACTATCTTCCGCTGAGATCTTTGTGGTGGTTTCAGGTGTCAATGACAGATCATAACAAATTGTGATACATCTATGGACCTATGAGCGGCCTATGGGTATAAGGACGGCCTTATGGGTTCCAATAGGTGTGCCAAATCAAACAGCTTGAGACCGACTGGACGACCGCGGATCTCGACGACTTGGACGAAAGCGCGGACGACGCCTGAGGCTTCACCGACGTCTCAGACTCCAAGCGGATCTTCTTCCGCTGCTTTCGGGAGAGCTTTTGGGCCTGTAAGGAGCGAACCGGGGAGCCCTGCGGAAAGGAGCCCTGCTACTAGCCCAGCTGCCAGCCCTGCTACCGCCCAAACGCCCTTGGGAAAGCACATCGATGTGTAGAGAATATTCTTGTCTCTTGTCTCTTGCTTATTAAGCCATCCCAGAATAATGTCTGCACCTTTGGGCCTTAAAAAAGTAATAGAACATGCATTCACTAATTGTTCCTATTGATTTCCACTCCTTTTGATTCCTATTGCTTACAATTGGAAGTGGTTCATTTATGAATGTCTTTAACGCCCTTTATTATTAAATCTTATTCAACTATTGAACTATTGTCAACATTTATTCCACACGGCGGGTAGCCAAATGCACTAGAAATCTTGAATAGTATCACCCCCTACAATAATGTCGGCTCTTTTGGTCTTCAATCAGTTAAACCACCTCCTGGAATAATGCCTACGCGTTTAATGTTTAATTGTTTCTGTTTGCTTTGATTTCTATTGATGTCCTTTTTCATCCTTTTGATTCCCATTGATTTCCCGGTAAATTCCTTTGATTCCTATTGATGTCCTCTAATTCCTTTAGATTTCCTTTTTTTCCAGATTCATTCATTATTCAGGGGGGTGGGAGGGAGGAGTGGGGGGCGCACACTAATCAGGAGTCCACATTACGCAAGTTGCTAACATCGACATGTAGCCACAAGAGCGGCTAAATGGTCTCGTTAGCTTGTCTAATGCATTATAAACAAAAAGTTCAAGTATGAGTCTGAGTAACAAACTCACTGAACTGTAAATAGCTCCCCTTTACATCCAAGCCAAAATTGAACTGAATGAGCTCCCCCTTCGTCAACAATTACTCCAACAGGCACGACCCGACCCTATCGAAACATCCAGGCTCTCGTATCTACACCGGAAAGAACATGAAAGAACGTGCTCGTCCTTGTCACAAACGCATTTCTGAGTGTAAAGCTCACTTGATCCGTGGCCATCCAGTGGCCATCCTGTGGAATACTGACAGCCAAAAGAAACGAACTCACCTTTGAGGCACCAAGTTCTTGCGCCATGGGCCATGGTCCAATTTGCTCTCTACAATTCTTGCTTTGTACTAGTTACCACATTCACAATGATTGGACCAATGGCAAAAAACTGAAGAGCTTCTCCCACAAGATCAGCCTCAGTTAACGGGGATGGGGATGAGTCAAACACAAGGCAGTCTTTAAAACATGATTACAGTCAGTATGGAGTTTATTCTCTCATTTCCTATTTGTAGCACTCAGGAAGGTCAGGAAACATGAAAAAAACATGGACGATGGGCTCCCAACTCCAGTCGCAAGTTCACCAAACATCTTCCCACCAAAGGTTTCGTCGGCTGTGTCTGTACTACGTGTCGGTAGGATCGGCGGTGAAAATCCTGATCTCCACGGTCAAACTTCGCGGGTGAGCGCCGCCTTGTCTGCCTTCTGTGCTTGCACCGGTGTGGCTGACATCTGAACATCTTTCTGCCTGGGTCCATGGTCATCGAAGCTCGCAACTTCTTGAGAGGAATGGGCCGAATTTGGGCTGGTGTCTGCTCTAAACAGGGAACAGGGCTCCAACAGGTTCATCGTACGTAGTGCCTAGATGAAGCAAGAGAAATATACAACTCCCGTGTCTTGTTCGGAGTAAGCCCCTAAGAAACAAAGTCATGAAAACAAATGCACACACACAATCCAACCGATCCAATGGTCGAGGAAGCCCGAGCCTCCAAAAACAACAAGAAATGCATGAAGCCACTTCCTAGAGGCCCACACTCTGGCAATCAAGAACATGTTTGTTCTTCTTCCGCACGGCTTCAGCAAAAGCACAGCAAACACAGAAGTCATAATTCCCTTCCACCCCTCCTCTCCCTTACCCCTTCTTGAAAGAATATCCCTGAAATATATTGAAATATCCTGAAATAATCATCATGGAAGAGGAAAACCACCGGTTTGTAGAGGAAAATTGTCATCCAAGGGCATCCCATCCACTTTCATGATTGGTTAAAAACTTGTAGGAAGGCATCCCATTTGACCCTGTCCCTCTTATACGCCCAAATCCTACCGAGGAGCACAGAAGCGTGGCCGCCAGGGCTGGTGGCTTTGGCATTTTGGATGACGCACTTGGGCTTCCGCAACTGTGGTTTCGTCTTCGTCTTTGGACCTGAAACACACAAAGCGGGGACCCCCGGGTTCCTCGCGCCCCCTGAACTTGCTGCGTTTGTCACACACACCCAGGTGGAGGGGAGGGAAATGGTCGGGAGCCAATGGCTTTTGATCCTGAAGAAGTTTCCTTTGATCATATGCAAGGGAGTGGGGTTGCATTGTCATGCCTGCTGTGCCACTTTATGGGTCTGTATTTGAACAGGGCTCCTCCCGGGTCGTGGGCATTTTTATTTTTTCACCGGGGGGTCTGGGGGTCTCCCTCTTTGTAGTACACACCCTTATACTTATAGCTTCGGTAGTCACTTGAAATGGTGTTGTGATGTAGCCTCAGCTTCGCTCCATTCGTAGCTAGCCCCAACACTGAAAACTCACCGGCGAAGGCATTCTCCAGCCATACAGGAAAACTTGCAAGAATTCTTGGAGGCCCAGAAGTAAAAGTTCAATGTGGTAAAAGTTCAATGTTGGACGCTGCTGAGCACCTGGCGACGTAGGCTAGCAAAACAAGTTCATCAAATCGCATCTCTGCTTAACCATGCCTGGAAGAACCGAGAAATCCAGGAGTCACAAGATGGGGTGGTTTTTAGTCCCATCCTCATGGATAATGAGCACCCCTATCCTGCAAGTTCGGCACCCCTTTGTGACTCCAGGATCCCACACGTTCTTTTTCAGCCGGGCGGCCAAAGGTCTTCCGTGCTTTGCCTCGTGCGACTCAGGGGTTTCTTTCGAAAAGTCTGGATTTGGAAGTGCCCACAGGTGGCAAAAGCGATCCGAAAGGAGGTAAACAATGGCGAACATAACTTAGAAACCCTACACCGTGTACACTTTACGAGGGGATTTGCGCCACCCCTGTGCTGAAATCATTGTAGTGAGCCATGTCAACGGTGTCAAGCAGCCAAAATCAATCAACATACTGTAAGTATATAGTTGCACACAAACACCTCCACAAACGCAAAAACGGTAGCCAAACGCATTATGCACATGTGTATATATATATATATATATTACATATTTATATATGTATGTATTACTATTATTACTACGCAATGCTGTAACTTGAGGCCGAGGGTAGGTGACGAAAGCTAGCAGTGGTGCATCCGGACTGGTGGGACATCAAGCGGAGTGAGGCAAATGCTCATGAGGTAAACCGTTGTGAACATGTAAGACACACACAAACAGCAATGACACAGCCAACCTTAGAATTGAAGTCCCCGATAATTAAGGAAGCCTGGCTGGACTTTGCCACACTGTTCGATGCATCCGATGTGTTCACGAACCTGTGAGCTTGTTGAATCTGTTGCACCGTATCCCCAAAACCTCCACGGAGGAGTTGAACCAGTGCGGATGCCATAAGAGGTGCCGAAGAGGTGTCCCAGAGGCAAAACAAAGCTGCTTGAATGATTTGTTTGGTTTCTTCTATCGATGTCGATGTCATGAACATGTGAGCTTGTTGAATCTGTTGCACCGTATCCCGGAGGAGTTAAGCCAAAGTGGATGCCATAAGAGATGCCCGAGAGGTGTCCCAGAGGCGTCCGAGGGGGGAGTTGAACCCACGGGGGGGGGGGGCCCCCCCCTACATATGAAGTTTTCACGTGATGCGGCGATCCCGAGGATTCCAGCCCCTCACTTGCTAAAGCAAGGACAACTCCAGCTAGCTGGTGCTAGCTTTCGTGATATGTGCATATGTATATTATGCTCTTATAATGGCAAAGCCCTCATAAATGCTCCGAGTGTCAACTGCTCATAATCTTGCCAGGCCACCGCCCTTCACATGACGCTTCACCATGGCGAAGCGAAAGCTTGCGTCAGGGGGGGCCACTGAAGCTCTATATGAAAAGATCTGGTCTAGAGGTTCAGTGGCCCCCCCCCTGCTTTCAGGCAAAAAACTCAATATATACTCCTAACTCACCTGTCAGGTTCAATGGTCTTTGACCCTCCCTGCTTTCGATTCGAGAACTTGAGTGCTCTAGAGGCTTTCAAACATCAAGGGCCTGGGGGGGGTGAACACTTGGAAGTTCTGGTTGATTTGTTCAAGCACAGTTGGATTATGGGCATGCCGCCTCTTCAGCCGTGCACTTCTGCCCAACAGGACAAAACTACCATGTCATGTAGATCTAGTGCAACTACTAGATGGAAATGAGGAGTGGCAAAGAAATGCCTCACCTTTAATGAAGTCTGTCTCTCAGAAGCCTTGATCAAACACAATGGAAATGCACGAAGCACTTAGGCGCGCGCACCTGGATTCTTGTTGGCAAGGGAGGCAGGAACAGGGGGCATTTTATAAACACCAAGTCAATCGTTCTTTAAAACAGTCATAGGTACTTGCAGCTCTCTGACCCCCATGAAAGCCAATGGCTCCACCACTGCCACCTGTCGCCAGTACCTCTTTTTGGGCAGCGCTCGCCTGCTCGATGGCGAAATGTCAGCGGCCAGGCCAATCTTGGGCTTTGGGAAAGTCCAACATCTTTTAGAGGCGATTCCCAGCCACTCAGATTAGACATTGACACTCTACACATGCATGTACCCTGGTACCCCCCCGTCCGAGTCAGCTTTCCATGTCAAAACTCTCTCCATCACCCGCGGCTGGGCCGTCACTTTTTGCGATCATGCTTGGAGACTCTTCACCTCCTCCTCAATGGTCGCCAGCAATGAGGCACGATCCTGGCACTGTGGTCGGATATGCAAACGAGCTCAAGGCAAAATAAACGGTCTGCCTTGACGAGGTCCATGGCATTGAGTCAAAACCTGTTTTCTGGTGGTAACTATATGGGAAACATCTTGAGTCATCAGAACTCAGTTCAGTTTTTTTTGTTCAGGATCTTCACATGTCATGTGCGTGTTGTCAATAATGCACTCCTTTCAAGGTACCCCGCTTTGACCATGCACCCCCATCAGAATAGCATATATCAACTCTCAAACAAAGAAGAGCCATTGCATTCTATTGCATTTGCATTCAATAAGGACAAGTATCCACAAAGAATGGTATCCAACAAAGGTACAAAGATTGGTATTCCTTCCCCTGTGACCTTCAGTGAGTGACCATGAGAATAGTGCCCACCTGTTCCAATCTCTGTAAATAGACTCTAGACTCCCAAAAATGCACACACCCAGCGGGTCACTCCAACCAGTTCCCCACGACTGGGAGACTGAAGACAACAACCCCGCCAAGCGCCGACTGGCCACACCCACCCATGGCAGAACATCCAAGGATAATGATCACACATTCTGGACTAACTATTTCATATTATTCCTACTGATCATCTGAACTTCTGGCGTGGATGGGAGCTTACAGACTGAATGGTGCCTTTAGAGCCGAACAAAAATCACACCAGTTCAACAAATTCTCAAACATCAAGCATCTCGTATTCCGGGATGCATGTGCGCGCGTGTGCTTCATACAGGTTTGCCATGTGTTTCATACATCACTGGTGCTGCCCCGCTGCGCCACGATCCCCGTCCGCCCTGATGCCCCCTCCGCCTCGAAGTGCCGATGCTGAAAGGGGCCATAGGTCGCGGTCTCCAAGCGCCAGGGCGGACCAGCCACCGACTGAGGGTAAGTCAAGTAGCCTGTTTGTGGTCGACATGGAGGTTAGGGGGAGGCGTTTTTGGAGAGTTTGGGGTGTAAATATGGACATCATATGTATAACATTTTAAATAGTACAATAAGAAAAACATATCAATGCACATGCAGTATCTTGAGTATAATGAGTAATATGATATACCGTATACCGTGTATAGTATATTTATAATATATATATATATATATTATTAATATATAGCTGACCACCATCGGAAGAATGAGAAGCTCCGAAATGGCCGGCAAGTGGGTGAGGGTCTGGCCAGGAAGAACATGAGAGCTGGGCCACTAGTCAAGGGTCATGGATCAACGAACGATGTGGGATACTTTTCCAGGGACTGCACCACCACTACCACAAGTCCCCGCCCGTGTCAGTCACACCATTCTTTGCCCCCGGTCGAAAACAACAGCAACAACAAGGTACAAACAAAAACTGCATCCCCATCAACACACGTCTTCTTACTTTGCCTCTACCACCTCCTAAAAACAAAGACTGCAGCCGACGCTGTTGCTTTTTGACCCCCCTCCAGAACAACGCTTCAAAAACACTATAAACGGACCAACCCAGACTTCAGTAAAACAAGTCCAGCTACTTACGAACCAAGCATTCCCTCAAAACTTCGACCGTATCTCTAACCTTGTCCCCTTGAAGTTCCAGAGTTACAACATGTGACAACTTTGTTGGGCGGCTGTGTTTGTTTCTACCACCACCACCACCACCACCACCACCACCACCAACAACAACAACAACAGGAACAGGTTGTACTGGAGAAACAGCCAACAGCAATAAACCCAAGGACTCCAACTAAGCTCATAGTTCCAGCTATTGGATGATTGGGCTTCAGAACCTTGCTTTCATGACAAAAAAAACGCTTGCAGAACTAAGCAGTATTATCATGCGTGCGCTACGTACAGGGTTTGGAAGAATAATTAGGTATACAAATGGAGATACAAGAAGAGAGATGGACACATTTGCAGTGTATATATAGTCCCAAGGTGCAAAACGCAGAAACTGAAATTCAAGAGCGCAAAGGATAAGGTTCCTCCACAAAGTAGTAGCATTTTGGTTTACAATACCCTGACTCTTCATGGGACTGGCATATTTGCGGACATTGGGGTGGTTTAAGAGGTGCATGTAGGTACTTATGCCAGTCCCTTAGAGTGTCTGGGAGAGAAGCCTGTCCAATTGACAAAAAAGGAACGGAAACACTTCCAATTCCTATGGTGTCCACCGCCAAGTCGCCAAGCTAAGAAAGACTGCCTGACGTCTCGTTCGTTCAACACCGTGCAGTCGATTCGTTGATTGCATGACCTGGTATTAAAACACATATAAACCAATTATACCATGTCATGCCATAAACGATGTAAGGTATAAGGTGTTGCAGTCATACCTTATATGCCGAAACCAACACATATATAACAACTTATATGTTTGGTTTCGGCATTGTACCTTGACATACCTTATATGTCTCGATGTACCTTGTAGTGTGATTGATTATGGTACGCATTTCTCTGGCACCGCCATCATGCGACATTGTATTCTCCTGTGGCATCTTATGAGAACAGGCATTCTAAGAGTTTCCTGTGTTAAAGCAACGACATCTCTATACAAGGTATTGGTCAGGAAGGTGTTCTCAGAGTTTGGAACCTTATTCTGAGAGAGTCGTAGAATCATTGAAGTGACCTTTTCGGAGTCCCTGTTTGTGACCTGTCACAGGCCCAAGTGACCTCAAACCAGGATATCAAAAGGTCACTTTGAAGAACCAGGAGGGTCACACATTCATTCAATGATAATTATGTCTCCGGCAATGGCATTTAGGGCCAAGCATTCACACACGTCATGGATGTCCAAAAAAGGCACCTGACTTGTAGATGGGGTTTGGTTACACCTCTCTGTGGCCTGTGGCACGAGAAAGCCGAAATAGGGCGGCCTGGAGTTCCCTTCCTGTTTGAACCATAGGGAACCATTTTTTTCGGGGCCAACTATTACCTATCGAAAATAGGTCCCTGAGTAAGAATAGTAAGACTGACACCAAATAAAATAAATAAGCGGCAGCGCTTTCCGGAGTGCTTCAATCGAAGCATGTTCTGTCGACAGTGCTTGCGAGGGGCAAACAGGAGTTTCCATCAGCGATCCTGCAGGCGGCGGAGGTGTGGAAACTCTGAATCCGCACTGAGTAGAAATGAGTAGAACGTCTGAAGTGAATCCATCCTCACCTGTAAATCGGTGCATTTCATAGAAACCTGTATCCCGCTGACCTGCGTTCATGCGCAAGACTGCACAGCTCCACCTGGGCACTTGGCTCCTTGCAACCATCGAATCGATTGACTCATTGGGATCACAAGTCGCAAATCAATACCTCTCACTGAAGAACCCCCCAGTCAAGTCATCAAACATACTAGCGGCTAGTAACTAGCCGCTTCCCATTGGGAACCAAAGAAAGAGACAGTGCTGGCAGCGCTGGCAGTGCTGTCCTTGCGCTGGCGCACCCTCATGTGGCCAAACAGTCGGTGGACACACCTCAGGTCTTCGACTGTGCTTCAGTGCCGAGTGCCCTGCGATCATTCTGGAAACACATAGGGCAACCCTCCAAGTAGCAAGGTCTTGGTTCTCTCCGATTTGGTATGTGCAGTCAGGCTGCTTTCTTTGCGGCCTTTGGGGTGTTGACACACTGTGCACCTTTTGCGATCAAGGCACGCAAAGCAGTTTGGCCTCAGAAAGATCGGCAAACACCGCGCTGCCAAGCTCAGCAGCCGGAAGACTAAGAAACTGAAGAAAAACCTTTTTCAACAAACTTTGTGTTTCTTCGCGTGTTCGCTCCAAAAGTAGAAAACAAACCATAAGTCATAAGTCATTCAGTTGCCATATCACCCCGTTTTCTGAAGACTGAAGACTTTGGACTCCACCCGCTACATTTCAATTCCAACATGACAAGTGGAACAGATTCCGAAACACCCCATGGGACTGGCATGTTTACGTGCATTGCAAGCAATTCACCCGACTTGGCAATCCTGTAAAGCATCCGTGCACACACCGGGTACACGTGTGTGTGTGTGTGTCAACCCCTGTTTCCAAGGGTTCCACCTTACAATTTCCATTGTTCACGCAGGGGCGTGTGGCCTTCTTGTCCTACCACACGCAACGAAGCTGTGGGCAAGAAGGGGAAGCAGGGACTGATCATCCCTGTGTACCTGCTGAACTTTTGACCACGCTGTCTAATTTGCTTTGTTTGATTCCATGGCTCTTCATGCTACCACCCCCAAACCTTTTTCCCACCGCAGACTTGCAG